CCATGAGAGCAGGAACTTTGCCTCTTTTGTTCACGGCTGTGTCTGTTCCAGTGTCTGGAACAGTGCATGGCACATAATGGCCACTCAATAAGTATTTGTTGTGGCTAATGGGAGCCTTGCAGAGTTAAGGCTGCCACTGTTTGTTGAATGAATAAGCGGTGCATATTTTATCCACTGTTCAACTTCCTAGGGAATCCACAACAACCAAGCTTTACACTGTGTGTTTTTTAGGTCTTCCAGGGATTGACTTGATTTATGGAATGTGTTAATTATTATAATAGATGGCAACTTTTTTGGGAAACAGTCAGGTTATTGATACATAATTTACATACAGTTAAATTTACCTTTTTTTTAAGTGTACATTTTGATGAGTTTCAATAAGTGCATATAGTTATATCATCATTACCACAATTTGATTTGTAATATTTCCATCACTCAATGCTTTTGCAGTCTCTCCTCCCCCACACCCATATCCACTGGCAACTGCTAATCTAATTTCTGTCCCCATAGTTTCTTGTTTCCCAAAAGAAGGGAAATGGAGTCTTACAGTATGTAGTCTTTATATCTGGTTTATTTCTATTAGCATAAGGCTTTGCAACCATGCTGTTGCATATATCAGTAGTCTTTTTCTTTTTTATTGCTAAGTAGTGTTTTCCACTTTTTTAAAATTAATTAGTTGATAGACATGTAGGTTGTTTACAGTTTGGGCTATTCTGAATAAGATTTCTATAAATATTTACACATAGGTCTTTGTGTGAGCGTATTCTCTTATTTCTTTAGGGTAAATACCTAAGATGGGATGGCTGGGCTGTGTTATAAGTCTGTGTGTAACTTTACGAGAAATTGCGAAACTGTTTTACAAAGTGGCTTTTCCCTTCTACATTCCTACAAGCACTGTGTAAGAGTTTTAGTTGCCCCACATACTTGCTAACACTTTCACATTTAAAAAATTTTAGTAGTTCTAGTAGAGTGTAGTGGCATCTCATTGTGGTTTTAATTTGCATTTCTCTGCAACTAGTGATGTTGGGCATCTCTGCTTATTTGAGAAGGTCATGTTTCAGTAGTCTGTTGTATTCTCTAGATATTAGTATCTTAGAGTATCAGTGGCTTTTGAAGGCAAACTTTCTTACAAAAATTGCTCAGAGCCTTGAGCACTCACTTCCATTCAGTCCAAACTGTATAAAAGAAGGATAAGAGTGTGGAAACTGTTAAATTTTGGCACAGGGTGATCTATCTGGTAACCGATGATGAGACACGGAGAGAGTACACCCAGGACTTGAGCATGAAGAGTGGCAGAAAGCAGATTTCATGGCTCTGCTGGCCTTGGGAGGGCCTGCTTGGTTCTTAGCTAAACCGGGTGTTTGTAGGAAGCAGGCTTAGATTCAATTACATTTTCCCGGATGCCCCTGGAGTCACCTGGGAAGCTCAACAGTCCTTTGTGGCCATTATGAGTGTGTGTGGAAGCCTGTTAAACGTAAAGCTCTTTCTCTGGGGACAGTTTACCTAAATCAGTTAATCAAGCGTGAGAAATCAGTTACCACAGGCCCAGGAATGCCAGCACCCTTATATTTTGAAACCCTATTTCTCACATCCATCTCTTAATTAAGCAAACATTCCCTGAGTGCTTACTACATGCCAGGTGCCGTTTTGCATACTAGAGAATTTTAGTGATGAAGAAAACAGGAATGGTCCCTGGAGACTCGGAAGGTGGGAAAAATGCTGCAAGGGAAAGCAGATGCTGCCCTGGGAGCACCTAGGAGGGTGTCTATCAGGACAGGATCCTGAGCATGTGACAGCTAAATGGAGACTTCAGGTTGGAGAAGAGCCAGCCAGTCTGACAGTGCTGTGAACAAGTACTGCCAGCCAGGGAGCATACCAGGCAGGTCCATTCCTCCCCCAGTCCAGGACCATGGTTTAGGAGGTGGGGAAGGGTAAGAGAAGGGGCTGGAGTCTTCAGGGAGCCAACAAACTCATGGCGAGCCCTGGACTTTATCTTCAAGGTGGTGGGGAGCTGACAAAAGGCTTTAATGTGGGGAAGTGGCATATTTAGGCATTTGGTTTAGTCGAATAATTTTGGTTGCTTTTGGGTAAATGGATAGGAGTGGGGCAAAACTGGAGGAAGGGAGACCAGTGAAGTCATCGTGGTAGTCACCCTGGACTGGGATAGGAGTGGCTTATTGACGGGCAGTGATTGTGAAGTAGGACCCTTTCCAGCTAGTAACTGGAAATGTGCATTAGAGCAGAAGCTACTAGCTTTGAAACATTGGGAAATTTAGTACATAGTCCTGCCTTCTTTTTGGTTTTGGTTTGTTTGTTCGCTTCCTTGAAAAACTGATGTAGAAATGTCCCTTTGGCTACAGTTACCTGAGCAGAGGATTTTGGGCATTGCTCCCAGCAGTGGTCACTGAAGGTGTTAAGTGGGGGAGGGTCTGACATGTGAGGAGGGAATTGTGAAGGAAGCCAGGGCCATGGCAAGGTGGGTGGGGGAATTGGGGCAAGAAGACTGCCTCTTTCTACCAAGCAAAACCAGAGCAGAACGACCTTATATTGCTGCTCTTTGCTACTTCTTGCTAACTTTCTGTGCATGTCTCCTGGAGGGCCCCTGGGAGCAGAACCCATGTCTGGAGACCAAGAAACTCTACTTTTAGGAAAATACTCTCCATAAAAACTACTGGCCTTTCTTGTTTGATGAACATTCTACTGAGGTGTCTTTTCCTCTGAGATTCTCCACTAAGGTTTAGGGGATGCTATGCTATGGTTTGGCCCTGGTTGGTCGTCTGATGCCAGGCTATTCAGATTTCACCATTCCTACTTTGCCCTTCCTACTTTTCTAGAAACCCATCTTCCGACCTACCTTCCCACAACCCCTAGATTTGCTAAAAATAGTGGAATAGAAAAGAATGTTTGGACAGGATATAACTATTTCTCTGTTAGAAGGTACTGATAGTACAGAGAATGGTAAGTGGGGAGAAGGGAACACATTTATTTGACACTTATAATGTGCCATATACTGTGTCAGGAACTTTATATTAACTCATTTAATCCTTCGATCATCATGCAAGGTAGGTTTTGTCATCCCTGTTTTATAATGAGGAAATTGATACTTAAGAGGGCATAAAGGCTTGACCAAGGGCACGTAGAAGCTGGGGCTAATTCTTATCTGGGTTCTTTCTACTTAGGTTAATTTTCCTTTTAAAATTACAAACTTGTGTTTCAGGCTTCTCATTTTAGCTTGGGGATCTGAAAAAATTCATGTAGCTTCTAAATTAACTCAAGTGATTCCTGGAGAACAGCTTTTGTATGAGAAAAACCTAGCTAATTATTTATTTCAGTGTTTCTGGAATGCAAGCCCTGTCCTAGGTCACTTACAAAGCAGTTTGGGAGTATAAGTATGTGTCTCACAATTGCATTCTTAGTGCTTAGAGGCCAGTTGACATCTTTAAACAACAAATTGTAAACTGTCACAGTACTGGCTTACCTCTTCTCCATTTTGGGGTGAAAACTTTTGGGAGTCTGTGTCCTTCTAAAGGTTTGCTGAGCAAATGATAAAGAAAGAAATAGGTCCTAAAGCTTGAATGTTTTAGAGGAATTCGTGATTTGGGGATTGTCAATGAATATACTGAAGTACATAATAGTAGGGTCATTCCTTCTCAGACACTGCAAACTCCCTCTACTTTCTTGTCTTCTCCAGAAGTTTTTAATCCAAGTTTTTGTCAGATGGGCATCAAAAGGGTAAAATCCTCCTAGAGGTTGCCTTTTGCATTGAGATCTGATTTGGACTTGTAGATATTTAGTCCAGTATTTTAGCATTTTTAGTCCAGTATCCACAAATGGTCACTATATTCTTAGCCTTTTTCCCTGTTTGTACCTCAAGCCTATGTCACATCCCCACTACTTCACTAGAGGCCACAATGATTAACTGAGCCATTTTAGAAATAAAGCTGGTTTCCAGTTTCTTTTAAGAGTTCATGACAACAAAGTGTGCCCAGGGCCTAGATTTTTGACCTGTGTATCCCTCACTTCTTTCACATTTCATTGTCTGCCCCTTCCCCAATTTTAATTTTAGTGTGACTCTTGGGGTTATTCCAGCATTAAATAAGTACAGTTGTTGAGTGGGCAGCTGGGACACACAAGATGTTGTATCCCCTGGGTTATTTATGAAAAGCTGCCCTTCCCCCCAGCTTGGTAAAACGGTCCCCCACAGAGGCACCTAACTAGGAGTAGTAGCGCCCTGCATGCAGGTAGAGCAAGACCAGAAGCGTGCATATGTCTGGACAGTGAGAGCTTGTCAGTTTAACAGCAATGCTCTTGGCCTGTCTCAGCTGACTTGTTTCTCCATGGGGTATTGTTTTCTTTCCACAGACACACAGCACTAGGATTGTCTTCATTGCTTGGGAGCCAGGTGTCACTGCATTTCTTTGGTGTTTACTCACAGTCATCTGAGACATGCTGTGGCTTTCCTGACTGGGAAACTTCTTTATTGATGGTGCCATTTATCATTTGAAGGACTCAACTTTGTGGCTCAGATGAAAATGTAGTCTGTAGCAAATTTTAAGAAATAACATAAATTACTCCATATTGAAGGCAAAATGTATAAATGCTGCTGACATTTTATGTGAGGGAGGCATTTTCTTAGAGGCAGGTGTCTGGGTTCCAAATATGCCATTTCCAGCTTCAGTGTTTTGGCTACCTTTGATTGCTCACTTAAGTCTGTGTTCCTAAGTGCATTTTTCATTCCCAAATGATCACACCATTGGAGCTAAGATGATTAGGATTATAATGACTAGCTCCCAGGTCATTGCTAGAAAACCTCCAGAATCTCTTGTTTCCTAGAGAACCCCAAGGCCAGAAGCTGGGGACTCATGACCTGCAGGGGAGCAGTCATGACACAGATCTGAGTGTTGAGGTCTCAGGTGAGGGGGCTGGAGCAACAGCCCTCACTGGCATATGGCTTTGCAGCAATAACTCACAGTACTCTCCCCTCCTGCTTTATCTTTCAGTTAATGACCAGCCACAGCGTCCCTGCTGTGAGCTCCAGCCTCTGCCTCTCCGGGCTCCGAGCCACACACAGGCTGCTGTGGGTGCCAGCTGAAGTAACATGGCTTATTGGCCTCAGTTGAGGTTGCTGTTATGGAAGAACATTACTTTCAGAAGAAGACAAACAGTAAGCTTGGGTTTTTCAGGGGGGTTCTCCCATGCTTTTCTTCATGGTTTTGAGTTATAGATTGGAGGAGGGAGGACAAGGAGTCATCTTGGTTTTCTGAAAGTGTTTGATTGAATCTGGCCCTGGTGGACTCCAACTGTGTGGTCCTGATAGAGCCCTGTGGTTCACTGTGGAGAGCAGATTTGCAACCAGGCAGAAATGTTGGCTTTGGTTTGTGTTAGTGCCTGGCCATCAGTTCTGACCTGGAATCTGGCACAGAATTGCCCCCAGCTATCTTCCTCTTTCATCTTAACTGCAGCCCTGGGGGCCACCTTGGTTCTTTCTGCAATAGCACCTAACCAGCCCCAGTATTTCTGGGAGGTGGGTGTGAAGTAAGATCATGGCCTAGCTGTTAGAGATCAGAGTGTAGAGCTTTCAGTGTGGACTGTGTCCTTTCATCTGTGACTGCAAGCCAAGAGGAATATAAAACTTGTTTTATTTCTGTGTAGGGTTCTAAGTCAGTAATTTCCCAGATGGGACAACAATTCTCTAAGTAATGCTGAGAAGATCATCTTTAATGCACAGGTAAATGGTATTGTTCCACAGAGGAAGGTGAAGGCTATAAGGCATGCTGAAATCCCTGAAGTTCAGATGTCAGCTCTGCTTTTCTATCTCTGGACACTCATATAAATCCCATCTAGTCTCTTGGGTTTAGCTTCACCTCTCTGCATTTAGCTTCTAAATCCCTGTTTCCTCCCCTGCCTTTTTCCCTGAATTCTAAACCAGCATTCTCACTTGGCTTTCTTGAAGCTTGACATGGCTATAATCAAAATGATCATATTTCTTAGACTCAAAGAGCTATAAGGGACCTTGGAGAGAATTCAATTCAGTGTTTTTCAAACTAAAATAATGCATAGACCTTCTTTGAAAGAAAAAAATGTCAAGGTCCCCTTGTGTTCATTAACTTTCTTTTTTATTATAATGCTACTTTAATATGTAAATATGTGAAACTAGATATAAACCCCTTATACTAAAATATAGGCTATTATACAACCATGTGACACATACATACTTACAAATTAAATGCAAACAAAATGACAAAACCACTACTGAAATTGAAATTAACACTGTTAATAAAATATGACAGCTGACATTGTTTAGCTGAAATAAAATTATAAGTAGTAATACAAATATGGTAGTGAGTGCTGTGGTACTGATCCTTGTGAGTTTGGACAGTCTATATTATTATGTGTTAATGGTTCAAATCGCCAACCACTTTCCCAGTAACCTTCATTTGATGTCATTTGGCTTTCATTTGGTCCGACCCCATCTCATTCATAAATTACATCTGTATCTGTTCCTTTATCTTTAGCCTGCTACAGTTATATTGGTGACAGCATAATCACAGCCACAAATATAAACTTAGGCTTTGAAGTCTTGTGCCAGAACTTGGTTGTAAAGTAGGCATTCAGAAAATCCAGATATGTTTATTTGAATTTGTTTAGATGACCACTAAATGAAAAAACAAAATGCCTTTATATGTCCTAGTTTGAGAAACACTGATATTTTAGCTCCTCACATTATAAGTGGTACGTGAATCTCTAGGTTACTAGTGAGAGAGTAGGAACTAGATTCTATAACTTGGTAATACTAGTACTAAAATATAACATATATTATATAATATAATAAAAGCAAACACTTAGAATGTGCTAGGCACTAAAGTGGGTTATTAACTGTATCAATCCTTTTAAGACCCCATGAAATACTATTATTTCCTTATAGTTGTGAGAGTTATAGATCATGAGTTATTTGTCTGAGTGTCACATCGCTAGTCAGGAGAATGTGTTGATTCAAATGTAGATAATCTAACTCTAGAGCTGGTACTCTAAACCACTATGTCAGATGTTTTTTAGTAGTATCATGATTTTTTCTGTCCTCAGTCTTAAAATCTTGAAGTTTCTGACCTCTTCCTTGCCTTTGCCCCCATTTCCATAGCTGTTCCCAGGTCCTGGTGTTTCCAAGTCCAGCATGTTCATCTCCTGTCTGCATTTCTTAACTTCTGTGTGGTCCAGGTCCTCTGCCTCTTCTCATCCTGGTAGCAGCAGTCTGCGTGATGGGAAACTGTTTCTGTCATGGTGTGTTTATTAGCCAGTGAGTAGTAGACAGAATTTTATCATCTTAGCACTGAAAGGGGCTATCAACGGTAGTCCAGTACAGACGTCTCAGTTTACAGATGAGAACACTGGGGCAGAAAGCAGGGAAGAGATTTCCTCAAGATCAACCAAGAAATCAGGGGCACAGGTGCTGGAACAAACTGTGGAGTTGGACCATCCAGCCTGGGCCAGTTTCCACTGGTTTTGAGCTCCTTGCTTCTTGCTTAATATTGCTTAATGGTTTAAGGAATTAAGATTAGAGGAATAGGCAGGTTTAGTCAAAGGCAATTCTTAGCTTTGTGGCAGAGTTCTTGTTGAAGGAGGAAGTAGAGAGCATCTTGACACACAAGGGCTTTTCTGGATGATACATCACTGCCTGATAGCTTGTCCTCCTTACTTCCCCTCCTGATTTCTAAAGGAAATGTATTTTGCTGAACTAGAAGGAAAAGTGGTTTATTTCAGGTTACAGATGCTTAGCTTGTCAGAGCTGGAAAGATCTGGCTTGCCTCTTGTGTTGTTGATGAAACTGGGGTTTGGGGAAGGGGGCAGAGATCCAGAATGGGCAGTGATGGAAGTAGCACCAGAACCAATTTCCTTGTGGCCCTGCAGTCACACATCCTTTTTTAGCAGGATTTGCTTTATTTGTACTAAAGGTTTAATGCCCATGGATCTTAGTGCTTACTTACAGCTACTCCCCGATGCACCTGGCTTAGATGTGGAGATTGTATTGTTTAGACAATGGAACCTTGCTGTTAAGGGTTTTAGTGTCACTTTGTTAGTTCATATAGTTAGAACCAACTGAGCCCATTAGGCAGGGGAAGAAGTTAGTAGCTCCATGATGGTTCTTTCTCATAACATATGGAAAATCATTGTTTCCTTTCTGAGATTCTGTAGTGTGCATACTTGGCTCCAGAGCCTGGCATCTGGGATATACTTAATAAATATTTGATGAACGAGTGGTAAATGCATTAAATGGGCCATTAGTTTGCAAGTCTCAAGGAGGCTTCCCTGCTATAGGGGCCCTGTGTGCTGCTTCCAGGAAGAAAAGAAAGACTGTATAAAAATTGGTAGCTGAACAGCATAGCCCGGTTGAAAGGCAGCCATTTCCCTTTCACTCTGTGTCCTTGTTTGCTAGTGAATCATGGGGACCTCTCTCTTGTGTCCCCATTGTACAGACTCACGGAGACCATCAGCTGGGGTAGCTTTCTGCTCTTCCTGTTGAGCAAAGAATACATTGAAATTTAGTTGCGAAAGCTGGGTGCAAAGCTCAGTTTGGGTCCAAAGTAACAGTTAACTTGTGTGGGTGGCAGGCATTCAGCATAAACAGAGCTTGGAACAGAAGGGCGAGGGGCTTTAGAGTTCTCAGGATCTTCAGCTGGTTTTAGGCTGAGCCAGAGGCCAAGGTCCCCAGGGAACAGACGGGGCAAAATGTGGCCATGGGGCCTCCCTTTTTTGCTTTTGCTACTGATTTTCTCAATTAGATCTGACTTGCCATGTGGGTGGGCAAACAGATAATTCTAACTGTTGCTTAAGTTAGAGCATCAATATTTGGATATTGTTTAATGACATTATTTGATCAAACAAATAAAAATTAAAGTTCCTATTTAAGAGACATTAGAGAATTTTATAGGGTAGATGGAAACTCTCCACATCTCCTCCCTGCTTCCAATTTCGCTTGACACATTTCTTCCTTGTTCTTAGTCCTGCCTGGCAGTCATGGTTCAAATCCAGATAATAATTCTAATTCAATTCTGATTACAGGTTGGCCACAATGTGCCTCAGTGGCTTAGGGGAAACTCATTTTTTTGGAGTTTGTTTCCCCTTCTATGGAATGAAGAAAGAAAAAATAGCCCCTTATTGTTTCATTTGGATAAATAGTCATTGAGCATCCATTACATGTGGAACGGTGTACGTTGTCCTGGGTGTACACTGGCTGGATGTACAGTGGTGAAACAGAATGATCCCTGCCCTCATAGAGCTTATAGTTCAGTGAGGGAAGCAGATATAAAACACATTATCACATAAGTGAAATATGTTTTGTATTACATTGTGTATATTATATTCATTACAACTGTGATGATTGTAATGAATTAAAAAAACAGATAAACTGAGGCAGTGTGTTAGATACTACCAGTCTGTGGATAGGGACTTAACTTAGACTGGAACATAGGACATTTAAGCTGAGAGTCCTGAAGTTCAAGCAGTATTCAGCCAGGGGAAGATCAGTAGCTCAGCATCAGGGGCAGTGTATTCCAGGCCAAGAGACAGAGGATGTAACAGCCATGGGGCTGAATGCAGTTCCTAAATCAAGGAACAAAACAGCCAGTGGCACTGGTGGAGTGAATGAAGACTGGCTGAGGATGAGTTGGGAATCGGCAAGGCCAGATCATGCAGGGCTTTGGAGCTGGGGGAAAGGCATTGAATTTTATGTGCAGCAGGAGTCGCTGCGGTAGATGGGTCATCTATGATAGTCACGTTGTGTGGTCCTTGGTACTGAGGGCACTTGAATGGAGACAGCCCAAGGAGACAGTTGCAATCATTACATACATATATGCCATTTTATGCTCTGTTTTCTTCCATTAAACATTCTTTGGAGTATATGTCCCTTTATTTCCAAAAAGCGTCCTGCTTGTTAATAATGATTCTTGATGTGTAGGCTGCATTTTGTAGTTTTGAAAGTACTTTTATATCCCTTACCTTCTTGATTTTCACAGCAATTCTGAGAGGTATGCATTACAATTTCTGTTTCACAGGTGAAGAAGGTACTGTAAGTTAGTAAGAGGAGGGACTGGATCTTTTCATCCCAAATCTACCATGGAACAATGCCATTGACTTTCCTTGTAGTTTTTATTTTATAGGTTCATACCCGATTGCCAACATTTAAATATTTCCAGTGTTTGCTGCTATAAATAAACTACTATAAAAATTTTAGACATGTAGCCTTTTCTTCCTTTTGTATTAGTTCCTTAGGCCAGAATCTCAGGATTAGGATCACTGGGGTCAAAGGGAAATGGCCAATGAACTATATGGTCAAATGTCCTTCCAAAGGATCAAACCAACTTAAAAAGCCACTGTCAGTGTAGAGGCTTTACAGTTCTCAGAGGGTGGACCTGGTTTTGAAAACTGTTTTACCCTGTAACATTTCTCTGATTAGATCTTTAAGATTTCATTCTAATGTGCTCACACCTAATTGAGTGTATGGCATTAGGGATGGACCTAAACACATTCAAATAATGTCACCCAAGAAGCTTTTATCAAACAGTGATTCCTTTTCTGGTTATGTTTGAGACATTTATTAGAATCTTATCTGGGTAGGGGGCTGTTTTGGGGTTATTTATTTGGTCATTTGATAAGTATTTTTTATTTTGATGCCAATATAGCTCTGAATGTGCTATTACTTTGATGAACATTCTGGAATCTTGGGGGAGCCCATTGTCTCACACTTTCTTTTTTGCTTCTTAGAATATTCTTTGATATTTTCATCTATTTATTTTCCCTTATTGAATCTTACTACCTTATTAAGTTCTAAAAAGTATCTCGTCACTATTTGAATGCCTTATAGACACTTAATAATATCTGGAGACATTTTTTGGTTGTCATAATCCTGGGCAGGGGTGGTTAATGCTGCTGGTAACTAGTGGGTACAGGCCAGGAATATAGATGGTAAACCTCCTATAATTCATAGGAGAATCCCTCACAACAATTATCTGGCCCCAAATGTCAATATTGAGACACCCTGCTTTAGAGAAACCGTGCTCTGGAAATGCTTGTTTATGCTTTCCCCATGTTATAAAGAATATAAGCTGAGGAATAGTGAGATGGAAAGAGCAGAGTGATGCTTTGGTATTTCCTAAAGCATTTTTCTTACATATCAGAATTATTATTTTAAACCCAACATCAAAGAAAGGCTTCTGAGTTTCTGACTTGGGTGAGTAGCGTCAAAGGAGGTGAGTGAGTAGGTGTCAAAGTAAGGTTAGAAGAGTTTTCTATTGGAGTTTATAGCAGTGAAGCATCAGTCTTACTTCCTAGCTATGTATTTATGTATGTATAATACATAAATTATGTATTATACTATACATGTATAACAGGCCCTATGTAGGGCCTATTTGAAGGAAAAGTGCTAAACTTAGAGATGGGAGAGAAATCTGAATTTGATGAGTGGAGCCAGAATAGCATTCCTGGCAGAAATCAAATTAGGTTTCTATTGGGAGGCTATTAGGAAAAAAAAGAGAGGAATATCCCCCTAAGTTTGGAAGGCTAATTCTGTGTGCCTTGGGGAAGATATATTCATTTTTTTCAGTCAACCAGTGTATTTTGAGCATCTGCTTCCCTGCAGGGTCCTAGATGTAGCGGCTGCAGAAATGACCAGGAACATAGGGCTTGATTTGTTGTATCAAATCAGTGCTCATGGAGGCTAGTGAGTGCTAGAGTCCTTAAAGTGGCCATCTTAAAAGGTATGTGTCCTAACCATGGCGCTGTGAGTGGCAGCATGATGGGTCCAAAGCACATAAGGTTCAGTAGGTCTGGTTCATATACTGGTACACTCTACAGGTTATGGTTCATAAGCTGTCCAAACCTTAGTTTCTTCACTTTTGAAGTGGTAATGATACAACCTACTTCAGAGTTATTGTACAAATTAAATATTAGAGATGAGATGTATAAATACCCCTGATACACAGTAGATGCTCACTATTGACTGTAACTATTATAAATCTTATATATCTATAGGCTGTGAGTTCGTTTTACCTGTCTGGAACCTGTTTTTTTTTTTTTTTTTGACCATGCCACCTAGTGGGGTTATTTCCCATCTGGGCCATGTGCTATGTTACAGAGATGCACGTGCACGTGGCTTCTAGAGTTGGGCAGAAGGAGCTGCTCATCTCAGCTCACCACTGGCATCTCAGTGACTTACCCTTCCTTGAGCCCTGTCACATATAAAATGGAGACAGTAATGGTCCCTACATGACAGGCTTGTTTAGGGGATTAGATGAAATAATCCATATAGAATGTGCCTATTACATATTGGACTCAAAATAAATAAACGGTAGCTAATCTTTATCCTAAAAGTAGCTTCAGAGCTTCAAGGTTGATGACTACTTATCTTACTCATACTCTTCATTTGAATTTTTTTTTCCGAGTTCAAAATTCTTTTCTGAATTCTTCAGTTTTGCCATTTTTAAAGTTTTTTTTCCTGTCAATTATTTGTAAGTGATTTTATTTAGTTGTAAGTTAGAAGGCATACACTTTTGTGTTCTGCTTTTTTCACTTAATGTTATATGTGACACTGTGTTTCATAAATGTTGTAGTGACTGCATAATCTATTGTCCAGTAGATATACCATAATTTATTAATTTCCCTGTTGCTGTGCAATTAACTTATTCCCAATGTTTTATGGTTACAGTGTTTCAGTGAATGGATAACTTCATGTATGTAGCTTTTTGATATTTTAAATTTAGTTCTGTAGGATGAATTCTTAGGAGTATTACTTGGTCAAAGGCATAAGCATATCTTTTGAATACATATGGCAAAATTGATTTTTTAAAGGGCTCAACTGATTTGTGTTTTCCATCTTCATTATTTTGTAAATTTCAGTTCATTCTCTTACTCAACAAACGTTTTTTTAAGCCCTTATCATATGGCAGCCCTAGTAAGAAGAAACAGCAACTAGGGGAAAAGTACCTATACAAGTAGGGCCCCTTCTGTGCCCAGTGCTGAGAAAGGCACAGAATGCCTAGGGGATTCCAAAGAGGGACTTCCAACTTGGTAGAAGAGGCTGAATGTCATCTGAAAGCTTCGAGATTTCAGTTTGTTGCCTCTTTGGGATCATTTACAGAAATATTTAGCTCCATCTTTGGTCTTGGAGATCCCATTGACAGCATGGTTTCTTCCAAAGAGAGGCCTGCTTGTCTTTCTTTTTCCTGTTGTGCTCTTGATGGAGACCTATTCTTCATAGTTCTATGGTAACAGTGTTTTTTATGTCCCATTAAAAAAGTAATACATGCTTGTTGTGGAAAATTTAGGAAGCACAGGGAAGTATTTAAAGAAAAAAATCACGCATGTTCTTATCCCAGTATATCCACTGTTAACAATGTTTGTATTTCTTTTCAAAAAGAAGATTTTGATTTCCATATCAAACGTCTTTGGAAGTTAAAAGTGGATTATTTAATATATCAGAAATCTAACAACAAACAAGAATTTAAAAGCCAAAAACAGTCTGAAGCACCCGCAATAGCAGAAAGGTTTAATTAATTATGATCAACTCACAATGTGGAATATCAAATGGCCATCAGAATCCATATTTTAAGATAATCTTTCATGTCATGGAAAACTCTTCCAGTATGATGGTTAATGAAAAACACAGAAACAGGAATTATATATGCTGTATAATCTCAGTTTTATAGAGAAAAAAATATTTATGCATACAAAAAAATACAAATATTAAGAGGACCATTGTTAGCTCAATTTACTGGCCTATCTCTGGGAAGTAGGATTAAGGGTGATTTATATTTACCTTTTTCTATTTTTCTGTATTTTTTATTAATTTCAAAATTTCCACAATAGCAATATATGGACTTGAGACCAAAGAAGAAAATTCAATTTAAAGAAAAGGGGGGATTTCATGCCATTGTTCTTTTGGCTTTTTGGCTCTGAAGCCACAGTTGTAATTACTCTCAACCACATGGCCTCATGGCTCTTCTAGATTCTTGGTGTTCATCTTAATTAGAATGTTTGAGTACAAAAATTAAAAGAATGAAAAAGGTGAGAGACTTTGGGTAGTGTAACTTGTCTGAACACCATGATTCAGTTATGTCTAATGATTTGCATCCTGTCCCTGTGCTTGTTTATCCCACGATAACTCACTGAAGCAGCATTTTCCTTTAGAGAAACCTCATTGCTTTAAACAGTGGACCATGCTTACTTATAAGATTAATGATCTTCTAACACATTGGAGAAGATGGTGACCAGACCCTGATGCAGGAAAGAACTGTGTGTGCACTCCTTCAAGCTCTTGCCAGTCCTGGGTACACACAGGTTGATCTGGAACTGTGTGTGGATTCCTATTGTCCTTTGGAGCTGTCTTCTCACCCCTCAACCCCTTGGAGGGAAACTTTGTGTTCATATAAAGGAGCATCCAGTCTTTTTTCACAGCAGGATGCCCTGGGCCTCTCTTTTCAACAGATGGATGTACCTGGCACTGGCTCAGGCTGGGAATGCAGAGATGACTAGCATCTGATGCTTGCCTTTAGGGTGCTAATTTGCAGTGAGAAAGCTAGTGATAGAAACAGATGGTTTCAGGGGCTCAAGAAAAATGCTCTGAAAGGTGTAGGCTTGGGTTTCTGTGGGAGCACAGAAGGGGGTCTGGCTCAGCCTGAGATTTTGTCAATTATATACTTGGTTAAGTCTTGAAGAATAAGTAGTAGTGAGCCAGATGAAACAGGATGGGAAGCATCTTCCCTTTCTTAAGGAAAATACAGAGGTATGGAATAGTATGTTATAAGGTGAGAACTGCAAACAATTTAGTGGTTAAAACTTAGAGAGTGGATGATACCAAAATAAAAAAACCAAAAAAAAAAAAAAAATTAAGAGAGTGGTGGGAGAGGCTGGACAAATTGATCAATTGTTTAATTTTCCTGTGGATTTCCTAGATCCTAGTAGCATTAGACAGCCGTGTTATTTTTTTTAATTCACAGTGCTCTGTCTTATTTCCTCCTCAGTTTCAGCTGTTGCTGGAGGTGGCCTGGCCATTATTTATCTTCCTGATCTTGATCTCAGTTCGGCTGAACTACCCACCCTATGAACAACATGAATGTGAGTATCTGAGCATCCTGCCTGAGACTTAACCACTGACAAACCAAATCCAGGCAGTGGACATGGGCTAAATTTGACCTTTCCCAAGACGCTGTCTTTAGGAAACACCGCAAATAATTTGGAACAGAAATGCTTTCAATTTTTTGATAAGGCATGACCTCAGGAAATTATTTTCAGTCCTAGTGAATGGTGATAATAGTAATTATAATAATAGTCAACATCTGTTTCATACATTTTATATCATGAAAGTAAAATAACCTTACTGATAGTTCATAAAGTGGTGGAAAAAAAGCCCACAGGCAGTGCCTTAATCACTATCAGCTGGTCCCTGCCAGTCTTTTTCACACGCATTATTTCTTTATTACACAGTTGCAAATCATGGAGCATATGATTTTAAGCAGCATTTCTATGGAACTCAGATTGGCTAATAATATTTTATTTGAGTCTCATAAAAACCTTGTATAGTAGACTTTATTATTGTTATCATTTGCTTTAATTTCTTGATAAATAAATTGAGGCACAGAGAGTGCAGGAACTTGCTCAGGTCCCACATCTCATAAGTGACAGAGATGAAATAAAGCTTAGGTCATCTGACTTCCACTTGTGTTTTGATGATGGCCTAATAGTGAATGTTAAAAATACAGTAGTGGCTAAGAACATAAGCCCCAGGTGTCAGGTTACCTGGGTTTGAATCCTGTCTTCAACACCAACTAGATATATCACCTTGGGCAGGTGATTTATCTTCAACATTTACTAGATATATCATTTTGGGCAGGTGACTTTGATACCTGAGTTTCTGCATCACTGTCAAAGGGGAACAGTAATCCCTACTCTGTAGGGTTGTTGTGAGTGTTATTGCACAATCAGTCTTTCCTGGCTGGCTTGCTGGATGGATTGACACTGCAGAAATATTTGTATGGGAGGTTTAGCCAGGACCTCTGTTCCATTGCCCCAGTGACTCTTCCTACCATAACCAGCTCCACTCACACCCCACAGCCCCACAGGCTTGCAGAATGCTGTTCCTTAGGGAAGAGATGGGACTAGGGTCACCTTTTAATTGTGTCCTTGTCTGGTCCCGTCTCTCTGTCTGCACATAGCAGGTATTTATTTTCTTCCTACCATAACCAGCTCCACTCACACCCCACAGCCCCACAGGCTTGCAGAATGCTGTTCCTTAGGGAAGAGATGGGACTAGGGTCACCTTTTAATTGTGTCCTTGTCTGGTCCCGTCTCTCTGTCTGCACATAGCAGGTATTTATTTACCTGCTAGTTTACTAGTACACATTATATGTGTTTAGGTTCTAAGAAGCCCCATAAAAGCTCAAGAACATTCTGACAGACATGATGATATTATGATTTTACAAAAAGAAAAATAGTATAAAGTAAAAATATACTTAGTTGGGCCTATGAGGTAATTGTGCTTTCTTTTTCAGAGCCCCAAAGATTGACAGACAAGTGCACATTTTATTTTATTTAAGCAGTATCCTAAGCTCCACTGAAGTACACGTTTTAGGGAAAACTCATCTTTTTCGTCTTCTAGGCTATTCTCTCTCTGGAATGATCGCAAGAAGGCAAGGTGGTATAGTGGAAATAGCATACACCTTAGCATGAGACAGTTGGGGTTTGGATTGTGGCTCTGCCACTTCCGAACATGTGATCTTGGGCAAGTTGTTGAATTTTAACCCAGATCCCTCTGAATCTAGACCACAGACTCTCAGAAATGTTGTGAAATTCCTAACCTATAGAGGCAGGTAAGACTTGCTCTGAGTTTGTACACTTCCTACAACTTACCTCTTGTTCTTACCACTTTCTAGGGACACAGCTTAGAAGGGCAGAGAGCTAAGGTAAAGCTTGCAGAGGTTTCTTGTCTCTGAATGAATGATTGGTGTATAATTTTCTCCCACTTTGCTGTATAATCTTTCTCAATTTGGCCCAGAGCCGTCAAGGTCCTAATCACCTCTCTGGGTCCTGGGAGCCCATTACTTCATTTGATTATCATCCTGTTTACTCAGTGCCAAATCCTCCTCCTGCTGTTGTTTGAAAATAATGTGGGACACAACATACAGGAAGAGTTTTTGCTTTACCCACCGAGGGATAGCCTGCTGCCTGTACCCACCGAGGGATAGCCTGCTGCCTGTACCAACACCACCCTGTCTTTGGTGCCAGTGTCTCCACTGGGTAGTTAAAGGAGAGAATCCCCTGGTCCTTCAAGTATTTAGGTGGGTTACATAAATCTCCCCTGAATGAGGAGTAGCTGACTTAGGCAAGGGACCTTGTTTGGTTTTCCTTGAACTGTTAACAGGGAGATAAGGAGGTTAATTGAGTAAATGGTCAACAGGCCAGAGTCCCTGCAGAGGGTGGCCACAGTGGTCAGATCTTGTTACATCCTTGCTCTGGATGTTGCCTGTGGTTGGAATATGGATATAAGAAAAAGACAGAAGGAGCCCAATATTGAAATGTAAAATGTAGCAAATCCTGGCTATGGGTTAACTTCTGGGGAGACTCTGTTAGCACATTTGCATGTAAAGAGTAAGATGTATTAAACAGGGTTGATGCTTTGGGTGATGGTGGTAGCCATGAGATAGAATGTTTCCAGCTGGATAATAGCAGAGTAAGGACTACTGTAGGCTCACCAACAAAGTGACTTGATAATCTTCACAGGCCCATTCATTGAGCCAGGTACTCTGCTACATTATTTGCCTGTGAAGTGGAGTGTATTTTTGTCACCATTTTACAGATGAAGAAACTGAGGGTTAGGGTTCAGGGCTAGGGTTCAGTGACCTGGCCAGAGTTGCTGCTTAGCAAGTTGGAAGGACTGGATATGAATCCCAGTTGGCCTGACCCAAAATCCTATGAAGCTACATGGCTGTTCACCACCTACCACTATGGGTCTTAATATGGTTAAGTCTTCTGTGATCACAGATAACCCTGAGAATATGATGAAAGCTGCAGCCATGGCCTTTTCTGTCCAGAGGAATACACACATGCTTGGTTCTTAGGTAAAGAGCCCCTGATTCCAGGGCACATTTATTTTGCTTCTCATAAGCTGAGTGTCACACACAAGGCTGTGCCTCTGATGCCTAAAACCAGCCCAAATACACCAAAGTCATCTGTTTGCAGGAAGCTCCTCCACAAGGCAGGGGAAGGGTAGTGAGGAGATGACCAGTTAAATGGGCTCATTGTTTTGATAAGAGACAGGGCAGCAACAATGAGCAACTGTAGCTTCACAGATGACAGCCAGCCCCAAGTCAGCACATTTATGTGGTGCCTTTAAGGAGCTTGTGGGCTGTCAGAGGAGGGGAAACTCACATACTTGGCCAACAGAGGACAGTACCAGAGGGGCTTCAGGAGAGCTAGGATATAATGGGGCCATGGGTTTAAGGGAAGGAGCGTGGACTGGGCTCTCAGACATGTGGGTCCTGCCCACTGACTTCTTGAGTGTTCTACATCACCCACTCTATTTTGCCGTAGTTTCCTCCTTAGTGTAAAGGACTTGGATTGGGTCATCCCAAGGCCCCTTTATGTCTCTGAAAGGTGAGGCTGGTGGTGGGAGGTGCACTAGCAATGACGGAGGACTTGCCGTGCACCAGGTGCTTTCTGTCTGTGGTCTGATCTACCCCTCTTACCACTTTCCCAAGGGTGCTGTCATGAATCACACTCTACGGAGATGCCACATAGGTTAAGAATTGCTTTCTAATGCCAAGTTTCCAGCTCAGTGTTGGATTACTCCAGAGATGGCAGGTCCTGGGATGTGGGGAAGGAGATAGACAGATTGAGATGGGGAAATAAATCAAAAGCAATAAAGGTTCCTATCAAGTCTCAAAATTGATTTGAAGAATTAATGTTTCTTCTTGTGTTTTTCTTCTCCTGGATCTCAACAGGCCATTTCCCAAACAAAGCCATGCCCTCTGCAGGAACACTTCCTTGGATTCAGGGGATTATCTGTAATGCCAATAACCCCTGTTTCCGTTATCCAACTCCTGGTGAGGCTCCTGGGGTTATTGGAAACTTTAACAAATCCATGTAAGTATCAGATCATGTTTTCTTTCCCAGATTGTTAATATTTTTCTTCCCTTCTCAACTGCTGGAGAATTTTGAATGATTGGATTTGAGTGAAGTTGTTTTTGTAAGGGTTTGTGTGATAAAGTCCACAGAATGAGGGCAGGGAGAATTGTTCCTGGGATTGAAGACTCTGGGACCTTACTTTGGTACATTTTAGGAGTAATGCTGTGTAGCTACAAGTCATGTAGTTGGGGACTGTTCCCCCAAAACTGGCTGGTAAGTCAGGAGACATAGCACATCAGCTGTATCTGTTAATTAGCCAACATTTTCAGCAAGCATTTACTGTGCGTCTGAAACTGGGGGTGTAAGAGCTGGGCAAAGAGGGTACAAAGATGTGTATGTGTGTATGGAGGGCCTTCCTGGAGAGGAGGCATATGGGCTGGGCATTGAATGGTGGTAAGACACATGGGGAAGAGTATTTGGGGCAGGGATGATGGGTGGGTAGTTGGGAGCACTAGGTAGAAGTGAAACTGCGTGTGGGAGCAGTAGGAGTGGGCCAGGGGCAGCCCATGAAGGACGTGGCAGCCAGGCTAGGGCTTGTGTTCCTGGAAAATGCTTTGTTCAAGCTGGAAAGGCAGCTGGCCTAACTGGGGCTTTTCTTGCACTTCCTGCAGTGTGTCTCGCCTGTTCTCAGATGCTCAGCGGCTTCTTTTATATAGCCAGAAAGACACCAGCATAAAAGACATACACAAAGTTCTGAGAACACTGCGGCAGATTGAAAGTTCCAGCTCAAGTAAGCAAAAGCCTTCTGTGTATTGGTTCATAATTGGAAATTGACCTGCACCCGGGAGAGATAGCAGCCCAGGCAGCTGAGAGCTTGTTTCTTTTAGTTTTTCCTGTAGGGTTGTTCTCCTCAGTGGCTGGGCTTTGAGGGCTCTCTACAGGAGGTATTTGAGCAGAAACTAGGAAGACAGTGAGTACACTGGCTTCCTCTGGGAAGACATGAGAAAAATCCCCAGAGATCAATGTCACAGCCCAAAGTTAGGACAATTAGGGGTGCAGTTGCTGCCAATTTCATTTTTTTGCATTTGGCCATGTGGGTTATAGTGAATGGGCAAATTCTTATACAAGGGATACTTCTGTGCATGCAAGAGCTTTTAAAGTTGCAACTTCATGTGGATAAGTGAAAGTTAACCATTTATTTCTAAAAGGAAAATGCAATGCATCTTTCCCCTAGTCATTTGATTTAGTCTGATAGGCATTTGAACTCTGACCTTAAAAAGTGAAATCTTTATCTCTGTTGTGGTAAGTCCCAGGCAGTTTATTGCATGCCATTGAGGAAGTGTCTGTGGATCAGGCAGTCTGATGACCGAGACATTGACTGCAGAAGTCATGGGGCAGCCTCCCAAGTAGTGGCCTACCAAGAGGGCAGTGGGCAATGGGAGCAGTCCCTGGGTGTCAAGCAATGATGGTGGGCATGGTCTGTAGAGAACTTGAAAGCAATAATGATCTTCTTATCATCACATGCACTCGTGGTTCTAAACAATATCAGTGATAAGTGACTCTTGATCATGGGCCAACTGCTGCCACAGCTCCAGGAAAATACTTTTTATTCAGTTTGGTGTTTGGGGAGGCTTTTGCTGAAAGGCCTCTCAGTTTGTGATCCACTTGACAAAAGAAGAAATGGTATAAAGTGCTGGGGTTTAAACCAGACTTGTATTGGAGCTTTTTCTGGGGAAGACAGTACTTCGCTTTCCCTGGGCAGAGAAAGAGGCAGTGGGTAATGTGGGGCCTGATGACAAAGGGGGCAACACTGTGTGTGGGGGCACAGAGGAGGTGTCACTTCTCATCAGAAAGCACCGTGTGACTGCTTAGGCTCCTGGCTCAATTTTGAGGAGCTCTCAGCCAGACCACTCCCAGTGTGTGTCCAGGTCATCTGGATGCTGTTTCCTTGCCCCGTAGGTACTTGGTCATGCACACGTTTCTGGCCCATGGCAGGACACAGAGAGGCAGCAACCACCAATCAAAGCATCCATCCTTCCTGATCTACTGGAGGCCCCTGCCCGTTAGACCGGAGGCAGAGCCAGGGTTATTCTACAGAGGAAAAGAATAATAGGATATATTACTTTGTAGGTTTCTGACTTCGTGGAAAGTCATTTAGTCCCTTTTGGGCCACTCTTCTCATCTGTAAAATAGGAGCAATGGATAGTTTTGAGGAATAAATGGGATAAAACATTTAATTGCTTAAAAACAGCATTTTGCACATAGGAAGCAGTCAGTGAATATGAACTAAGATTATTTTGGAGTGGTGACATCTTGGCCAAACCATTTAACCTCTCGGAGCCTTAAATTCCTCAGCTATTAAATAATAGGTAACTTGCAGTGTAAAACGTAAAACCTAACACAGTTTCTGGCACACAGTAGATGTTCAATAAACGTGAGCCAATGTTATTTTTGTGTGTCAGTGAATCACAGCTGGAGAAGTGGATTGGTTGATGGGGGTAAGCTGTTAAACAGAGTTTCATTTCTGATCTTAGTGGGAGCTTTCTTAGACACAGAACTGATTTTCTTCTTAGAGCACCTGGAGACATGACAAGTGGGGATGAAAAGACAAACCTACTTTTCAAAAAACTTTCTCTGTACAGCTCTGAAGAGAGATCGCCTCTGACATTGATTGTATCATATCAGTGCTCATTACACTTCTCTCCATTCACCCAGTGTGTTCCTTTTTCTGCCCTGCAGTTACTTCTTAAATCAATTTCACCTTTCTTTGCCTGTATTGTAGTACTAAGCCAGGCCTTAGTCTAAAGGGAAATGCATAGAAATGATGCTTCTTCCAGGTAAAAATCAGTAGCTTTTTGCTGAATTTGAATAGCACTTCAGATTTCTGAGAGAATCCAAGACTGGAGCATGTCAGTATAGAACCTGACTCAGAGACCTGTGTTTATCTGCACTGATGCCCCTACTCACAGCATGATGGGCTGAGCCCTCTTGTACTGTCCCTCTCAGGATTGGAAGGCTTTTTGGTCGGAGTCCTGCCCTCGTCAAGTTCTCTACCACACACTGATTCCTGAGATGGGGACCTACCTCTCTCAGGGTCACTCATTTCAGATACTGACAGTTCTAATGATGAGGAAATATTCACTACCCTGCTATACCTTCTAGAGAATGAGGCTACTTCTGTTTCCCTTGAAATATTTAAAGATAGCTCTTGTGTTTTCCCCCCTCATCTCCTGAAGTCTTTGATTTTTCTAGGCTAAACGTCCTTCCTTCTGGAATGTTTATTTTCCCTGACTTCTGCCTCTCTCTTTTCTGGCTGTGTTTCAGTGTGACTATGCCTTTCTTGAAGTTTCTCAGAAATTACGACAGTATTCTAGCACAGAACAGAAAGGGATTTTTGCCTCCCTTGTTCTGAGCACTGTATTTCTGTTGATGACATCTGAGATTGCATTAGGCTCTTTGGCATCCAGTCACACTGTTGCATCGTGATCATGTGCAGCCAACCAAAATTGCAGTTTTATAAATACACAGTATTGCAAGTTACTTAGTCTTTATTTCTTAATTGTGCTATCAACTTTTTGAACCTAAAGGGAAAATATCTCTTTTCTGTTTTACATGTTTAGTTTCCCTATGTCATCTCATCCTACCAAAACCATTTTAGATTCTTATTGTGCCATGTAGTATATCTGTTGCTTCTTGTCATTTCCTGTCATGCAAGAACATGACAAATAGCTCTCTTTGTTCTCATTGGAGTTGCTGACAATAAGGCTTGAAGTTTGGATCAGTCCACTGGAGACTAGTAGCCCCTCTGGACACTAGCACTCAAGTTCTCAAAAATCCACTGATGTCATTTGTGCTAGGTCACCAGGCCCAGTTTCTGTGATCTAGTTGGAGAACTTATTTTGTTCTTCATCTTGTGTCTGTTACATCCATTAGACTATCCAAAGATAATTTGTGAATATGGCAATCTCTCCTCAAATACTCTCTTCTAGTCCCATGATTTCCTGGGCTAGGGCATTGTCTTATTTCCAGTTACTGGACAAGACTGTAAAGGCCATTTAGTTCATTTATAGGTAAATGGGTTGATCGGTTCAATCATTCAGCCAGTATTTATTGAACATCTAGTATGTGCCAGCCACTGTTCTAGCTGCTGGGAAGAAGAGATATATAAAACAGATATGCCCTGTGTTCATATGGAACTTCTATTCTAGAAAAGAATCTGATCCATAGAGGGTTGGGGGAGTGACTTTCCCAAGTTTGCACAGCCACCAGAGAGATATTCTAGGAATGGAACACAGCTAAATGTCTGCTGCTCTGCATACAGTTCTCTTTCTATAGTGCTGTCTGGCACTGTTCTAAATAATCTTTCTACTGAGAAGGCCTCTAGTTTTAAGCATTAAATCTTTGAAAAATCTGATTATTCTTGAAACCACCCTAATGAGAAACTCCTGTAGGAAGTCTTGTAGAGGGGCCTTATTCCATGTTCTCATCACTAGAACTTTTTTGACATTTTATTATTTTTTCCTAAACCTCCAACCACATAAGTTGAGTGGTGGTTAAATTGCTGTTTGGGAATCAGTATGAGGAGCATTTGTTCTTAAGTTCCTATCATGATTGCAACCCAGTGGAAATACAAATATTGCACAAGTTCTCAGAAATTTTTGAAAAAAATGACAGGTCTAGGTTCTGTCTCTGTTAGATGCAGACTGACAAGGCTGAGTGTTTCTCTGAGTAAGTTTTGTGTGGCATCTGAGATGATTTCAGGCAGTACACAGATGATAACTTAATTTTTAACCCATATCAAATTGCAGTTTCATCAGTTTTGTTGCCTAAGAGGATATTAATTAGAAAAAAATTTAAGAATACATTGTTTCACATGAATACGGTAAAACTTGTGAGAGTGATCTGTAACTGCTAGAAGATTGAAAAACACTTGTATAATAAAGAGTTCAAGGTTTGTATTAAGATTCCTTTTGGGAACAGGCTCTGTCCCTCATAATGTGTGAATCTTGGGCACAATTAGATGCTTTCTGACCCTCAGGTTACCTGGGAAATGGAGATTAGCTGCCCTGAGGGTTGTTGAGCAGCAAATTAGATGATATTTGTAGATGACTGATGGTGGGGCATAGCACATAGTTGATAAAATAATCTGAGTTGGTTTACCTCCCCTTCTGTTTCTGGCTGACTGTTTGGCTTTGCCAGTTTGTTCCAATGTCTCTGGACCTCAACTTTCCTTGCCTCAAAAGTGGAACATCGGCATGACAACCTGAAAATGTTTCATTTTGAAAACTTGGCCAGTACTTGGATGGGGAATCTCTTGGGACTAACCAGTGATATGGGCTGTCTTCTGGACTGTAGCCAATCAGTGAATATTTGTGGAATGAAGGTGAGAGAGAATACCTACCTTTTCTCCTTCACAGAGCATTTCAAGGGTCAAATGAAAGCACTTTGAAAAGTATAAAATCCCAGCACATGTAATTTTCGAGTTGATACCCTTGTGTGAACCCTAGTCAACAGGGCTCTAATTAATAATAATAACAAAAGTTCTTAAAACAGTCTTGGCTCTCTTTCTTCTACAAGGTTTACCTTCCAGAACTACTGGCAGGGCTGTTTTGAACCCAGAGGCCAGAAGTGGATTTACTGAGAAGCTGAGGAAGTTTCGCTTTCATAGCCCTCTTCCAAAGCCCTGGTAGGAATTTTAGCTACCAAAAATTGCAAGAGTATTATATTTTAAAATACTGTTTTTTTGTAAGGAGAGTTCCCCAGGTTATGTCAGCTTTAGGCTTCCCCTAA